ATAGATTTTGTGTAAAGAAGACGTATTATTTCAAATTTGAATCGGTTTCTTAAATACTTATATTGACTACACAACGCGTAGCGTGAAACGTAAACTTAGTACATTTATTACACAAAATTAATATTAGGTACAAAGTAAGTACAGTTTCATCTATACTTTTGAACCTCAAACAATCTATCACGTAATAAACTATTAAGAGAAATTATATAATTTTAAGAGATATTTAACATAATTTATTCAATATCATTCAAGGATTAATAATTTCATATTTCTAATTGTCATACTTAAAATTTCCAAAAAATGTTCAGCTTGTAGAGTTTTAAATTATTTCGAAAAGTACACAATTTTTACTTTATAAAAACAAAGTGTGATTGGCGTTATCAGTCATAACAAAAAGGGTATGAAAATGCCCTCTGGTAAATCCAACATGCTCCAGACGTTGAAAGCTAAATCTTTCAAGACAAACTGCTTGACATTCTCAATTGAACATTAAACTTAAAACTAAAATGAAAAATATGTACATAGTTATTATACCAACCACTAAGAAAATCGGGAAGGAACAGGATAATTTTGTCAAAAAAAAAATTTAATTTGATAAGAAAAATATTTTTTAATTTTTTTCTGATAATAAGAAATGTAATCGAAAACAACCCAGCATGAAAACGACCTTTTGAAAGAATCCTCTAAAAATATGAGGATTGTAACTAAAGATGTAAGAAAAATAGGAGTTGTGATACAATTGTATGAAGCTATGAAGCTGTATGAAGCTTGGTGGAATAAATACTTGGAGAGCTGATCTAAAGAACTATACAGTTATAAAAAGAAAACTTTTGATAAATTGCGCAATTATGATATTACTATATTAACAGTAATCAAAGATAGTCTAATCAGTTTTTACCTTATTTTAAATGAAATGTTTTTATGATTTTATATGTGCAATAACTTGAATGTGAGTTTCAATTTTTTATATGGATAAACAATATCTGTTGTCTGAGTGCATTTTACATTTTTAACTTTATTTTCTATAACTTTTTAAGAAATGTATAGATCAATACAATTTTTTTATGACAAAAATCATTTATATAAATCTTTTATTTGACCTTTTTTTTTGAAAAGTGCAAAATTTTTAATTTATATAAATTTAATGTGTATAATTTTATATTAAATATAAAGTTACATTAGTTATAATGTGAAGCTAAAGCTGTATTTTCTTACCATGAAGTGGTTTTTCTTAATTAACAAATTAGTCTACTATTGTTCTATAATGTCATAAAAATAAAAAAGTACAATGAAGAGAAGTTTTAACCGTTTATAGATTAGTGTTGTTTGAATTTTGATCGTGATTTAAATCACTGTCATTTAATTTTGATCCTGTCTTGTGTTATAGAATCACGACTTTCATTTTAAAACCATATAATTAGCCTTAGTTATAAGTTTTACTGTTGTATCAATCGAATACATTGATTATAAAGAAGAGATTTATAATTTTAGGCACTGCGATTATAATTATAATTATAGTCACAGTGTTATACTAATTATAGTTCTAATATAATTATATTAGAACACGTATAGCTACAGTCGATTGGAATGACACTTTCAATAATTTACGTATAAATAAAGCAATTGATAGTTTTTATTCAAGTATTTATGAAATTATAGATTCTACTTGCCCAAAAATATTAAATTTATTGTAATTATTAGACATGGTTTAGCTCTATATTAAAAAAGTTATGGCAATTTTAATTAAAAAAAAACCCAGCACAGTGGGGTCGAGGCACAGTGTGGACGAGGCATAGATGGGACAAGTATAGATGATATCTGACAGTGATTAAAATCACTATCATAAGAAACGCTTCGATGCAAATCT